TGTGACCATTCACTTAAACAGTCCACAGATGCTTTTAAGGACAGAATTGAATCAGCTTTCAAAGCCTAAAATATTTACTGTATGGCCTTTATAGAAAACATCCCTGACCACAGTTATATACTAATGTAGTGTGAAATGCCCATCTGTGAATTGTTAGTTACAAATACATGACTAGATAAAGAGTTTGCACTGGGATGCAAATTAATTCACTGTTTTCTTTATCAAGGAAGTCTTGCTTTGAAAAGAAGGAACTCAACACAAAACAATGTCATTTGATCTAGACAGTGCCTGTAGTGGATTATGTATGTTTTACTGATGTTTCTTATTTACCAACATACAGTTTAGCTCAAGAATCTCACTTTGAGTCAGTAAAGATGTACTGAAGATTTCTCAGCAGGATGGTAGAATCAGATGTGCATTTTAGAAACGATCAATGAGATCAAATAGAATATTATGTTTTGGTCTCCTCTACAGCATAGTACAGAGGGGTATGTGTAGGGTTTGGAGTCAAACAGAACTGGTTTCAAACCTTGGAGAGTGAGCTAGTAAGGAGATCTGACACTCAAGAAAGAATGTTTAGTTCCCCTTGATTTACATTCTAAAAACACCACTCAAGAACTTTGATTGGTCGGGATCGAGAAGCCTACTCCAGCAGCTGGTGGATCGGAAACTTTGTTCGTCATACACAGTGGGGTGCGTGGGGAGGGCCAGGAAGCCATTCTGCACGAGAAGGCTTCGCTGCCTCACTGCATATACTGGGGGGAGACTGCGGAGACCAGGGTCAGAGCTGCTATGGAACGCTGTGTTTCTGCTACTGGGGAAGCGATTCAAGCTCATGACAACTCTTAGTAAATGATATCTATCAGGTCTGTTAAAACAGCCTACAATATTGTAATGAATCAAAAGGTATATCTCGCCCAGCCGGGCGTGGCTCAGCGGTTGAGTGTGGACCTAGGATCCAGGAGATTGGAGTTCGATTCCCGGTCAGGGCACATGCCCGGGTTGGGGGCCCGATCCCCAGTTGGGGGCGTGCAGGAGGCAGCTGATCAATGACTCTTATCATTGATGTTTCTATCTCTCTCTCCCTCTCCCTTCCTCACTCTGAAATCAATAAAGGTACATATATAAAGAAGTTATCTTTTAAAAAATAAAGTTATACTCAACGTAAAGAATAAGCTTGGAGAATTTGTCCCTCATCTAGTATATTTATAAAATCAGAGGTCCAATTGACCTAAATCAAAAATATTGCAATTTGTCCATGCAAGAGTATTTTAAATTAATTTAATTAGGGTAAATACTCAGGAGATTCTCAAATAAGGGGGCGGGGGGCAGAAATAATATTTTAATTGCTTAATTTGTGTAATGGTAAGCCTTTAGAAACCGATTACCTAGGAGGCCTAGGAGTCTGTCCCAAGGACTGTCTCAGATAGCATGGACTGTATATCAGATCTCTTTTTATAATGACTTTTTAAAATAACTTGTACATCATCACCTAGGATCTTTGCATTTGCAACACCTGAGTGTATAACACTACTTTCTTTAAACTTGTACTACTGTGTGGTTTATGATGTTTTATTAGAAAAGATGTGTTTCTATAAAACATCCTACTTCATGCCTTGTATGAGAAAAGACCATTTGAAGGGTGGTTGAGAGATGCTGATATTTTATGGGCGACAGCACAGTTAGGTGTGATCATTACTGCTGAACTCACTTTAGGAGGGGAGTTGGTTTCCTTTGCAAGTACATGGTTGAATAATCTCATCCCAGACCCAGGCAAGCGTTTGTGTAATTCTTCACTTGCCCATTACGAATTGTACATACATCATGTGCCCCGAGTTAATGCATATAAGATATACGGCTGCACTGGTAACTGTTTTCACAGTGCGATATAAACACACAAATACAAATCTGTTGTTTGAAATTTTCAAATTGATCTCCTGTCCTGTCTCCCTTCTTTTCCTTGCAGGCAAGGGACTATTTCAGGGATAGGTAATTATAAAGACTTGTTACAATATGTATTTTATATTTATTCTTGGGATTGAATTTTCTTAAATGATATTGGATTGGGAAAATTAAAAATTACTATTATTTTTATTGTATACTTTATAGGAAACCAACACAGGGACCTCCAGTTCAACCATAGACTAGATGCTTTTATGATTGCCAGAATTGTGACTTTTAGTCACTTAACTCCTCCATGGTCTCCAGATCTATTAGCTTTGTTCTGTCTTTTCTAAGGGTTGTTTGTTGTTGTTGTTTTGTGTATTTTTTTTAACCCATCGTAGAACATGTTATTAACTTTTCATGTATAATTTCATCTGAATCCACAGTTCTGTCACTCCCTTCATCTTTTATTTCCACATGCATTCTATCAATTTCAAACTCACTTTTTAAATTTTCTTTATCAAGTATTTTTGAGGGTCTCTTATGAGCCATGCACTGTATAGGAAACAAAATATACATGGTCCCAAACACAGATATAAACATTTTAATATTTTGGAATATTTTATCCAGTTNTGAGGGTCTCTTATGAGCCATGCACTGTATAGGAAACAAAATATACATGGTCCCAAACACAGATATAAATATTTTAATATTTTGGAATATTTTATCCAGTTCTTGCATGTATGCAGTTACATAATGTGTGTGTATAACAACACATACACATACACACATATATACTGCTGAACATGTGGGTAGTGCATGTATGTAGTAGGCCATCAATAAATATTACATTTATGAAATCTGGTACACATGTTTTCTCCCATTCACCAGCTTTTTGATCATCATATTGGTATTTTTTTGATCATCAGAAATCCTTAATTTGAATACAGCCTCATTTTTCAGTATTTCCCCTTATGGTTAGTAATTTTTATATATTGTTTAAAGAAACTTTCTAATTCTTACATTATAAAGATATTATTATATTATCTTAGATAAACTTCATTGTTTTACCTTCCATGGTTCCTGGTACGATCTACCTGGAATTTATTATTTTTAAATGCTGTGAAATAGATATTATTTTTTTTTTATTTTCACACATGGCTACCTAATTCATTTTGTCCACACTGAAAATATTGTCCTTTCCTTCACTGCTCTGAAGAGCCAAACTTTTCATAAATCATGTGCACAAATATATGTGGATTTGTATTAAGCACTATTCTATCCATTTATTTGGCCCATTTGTCTGTCTTTACTCCAATCCCACCCTGCCTTTATTATTCTACCTTTATAATGGATCTTGACATCTGATAGAGTAAATTCTCCATATTGGCTATGCTCACTCCTTGGCATTTCTTTCTTTCTTAAAAATTAAAAATATTTAATTACAGTTGACATTCAATATTATATTAATTTCAGGTATAGAGCATAGTGGTTAGACATATAACTTATGAGGTGGTCCCCTCAATAACTCTAGTACCCACCTGATACCATAATAGTTATTCTATTTGAAGCTAAGAATCAGTTTGTCAATTTCTGCAAAAAATATCTATTAAAATTGTGCTGGATCTCAGTGAATCTATAAATCAATTAATCATTCATGTGTTTTCTTTGTTCTTGGTATCCCTGGGAATCTGGGCTATTGAGCACATGAGGAACAAAGCTGGAAGAGCTTACTCACTGAGACACAATTCAGGAAAATTAATATAAAGTTTATCACTTAAAAGTGATCTTAATTTGTATCCTCTGAGGTTTGCAGGACGCCAAACTCTTTAATAAATTAGTAGCAACTAATAACATAAACATAACCAGAAACCACAGCTACCATTTATTAAATATATAAGATATGCCAGGTACTGTGTCAGATGTTCTACTTATTTTATTTCTAATTTCTATTAAGACCATACACGGAACTATCCCATTTTACAAATGAAGAAATGAATATCTTCTGAGAGGTTCAATAACCTACCTAAAGTTTGTCCACCTAGTAAATGATGAGGCCGGAGGCCAAACCTTGTGTGTCTTTTGCTCACAGTCATATTCACAGTGCCTTGGACAGGCAAGACTGGAAGGGTTAACTCAATAAATATGTGGTGATTGAATGAATACTCCCATCTCTGTCCATTTATTTGCTATTAATGATTCACATTTTGTTGCTCCAATTAGAGAACTTTCAAAACAAAAAAGGCATTAATAACTAGAAAGTTTAAATTCTATACTATCTAGCATCATGTTTAGGTGAGAAAGTGGTAAGAAATCTAATTAATCAAAGGAAGAGCGCCAAAATGCCCAAATTGTGAAGACTGTATCATAGAAATGTACACCTGAAAACTGTATAATCTTATTAACCAGCGTCACCCCAATAAATTTTAATTTTTAAAAAAAGCTGTATGTTACCTAGGGTATCTTTAAATTTTTTTCCTTTTTTGTAAATTGATGATTAAAGCGGGGGCATAAACTCTGTACTGTATGGCAAGATTTCATTGATATCTAATTGTTTCCATAAGTATTTTCCTCTTTTATTTGGAACCAAGAAAGAAAAGACACACTAAAATGACCTAACAGCTTATTAAATTATATTTAAGTGAAACTGACCTAAATTAATAGAGTAAATGTGAACATGGTAGCCTTTTAAACCTATGAGTAAAACCCCAGGCCAGTTTGTATGCTGTTTTTTATGCTTTATTTATTTATATATATATTCTCTTTTATTCAGTGCTACAGGGTCTCATTTTACCCACTTGAAAATAAGCTCTATAAAGCTAATCAGATTATGGGCAGTATCGTTGTAAAAAAAACCAACCAACCAAGTTATTACAGATTAGACCTGGTGATTTCAGCCTTTACCATAATTTGCACACAATGTACCAACTGATACATGGACTCAAAATCTAAATAGAAGAAATATTTCTGCTGAAGGTTATGAGTCATCTTTATGCTATAAAACATTGTTATCCTTTTAGAAAAAACCATAGAATGGTAAAATATGATCAATGACAGACTATATTTTGTGATATTTTTTTTCTTTTTATCTTATAAACACATCATACTTTCCCTAGAAATACCACAGATGGCTGGTACCTGTATGCCGATAGCTCAAATGGAAAATTTGGTGACACGGCTGACATCCTCACTCCTGTCATTTCACGCACGGGACCAAAGTGCACCCTGGTGTTCTGGACTTACATGAATGGTGCCACCGTTGGCTCTCTCCAGGTACTGCTCAGAACATTGCATTTTCTGAATTTGTTATATCAAAATTTATAATGTATAGTGTTGTTAAAATATAGTCTCCTTATAAATGAAAATGGACAATTGTCAACACTACTAGCTTCAAAATGGTGTGATTGGAAAAATGCTTTAGCAGAATTCGACCTGAATGGCTAGTAGGATATATTTTTTTTACTATGGAATTTATGATTTTTTTTGTCTTTATTCTGAGGTTACAGCTTCTGTGGTTACGGTTTTATACTTGNTTACTATGGAATTTATGATTTTTTTTGTCTTTATTCTGAGGTTACAGCTTGAAATGTTTAATGTAGATTTCATTATAAATGTTCAGAGAACAGCACCAACGATTGTACACACTTTCATAAAAGCGAATGAGCATTCTTTCTTCATACTGTTTTTGGTGGGAGTGGTGCTCCTGCTTCAGGGCTCTTTTTCAAATTGTTTCTTGGTAAAACAACAATTTGTTTCAAACTCACAAAAGGTTGTAAGAATCTCACAGACGACAATGTACTCTTACTCAGATCTTTATTGTTTGCTCACTGTCTCAGGAGCATCTTTTATAGGAAAAAATCAGTTTAATACAGAATCACATATCACACTTGTTACTTCTTTTTAGTTTCTTTTAAACTGGAATGATTCCTTAATCTTCCCTAGAATTTTATGACACTGATGTTTTAAAAATTGTAATTCAATTATTTTGTAATGTTTCTCAATTTGAATTTGTTGAATGTTAAGCTTTTTTTCCCCTGTAACATCACCAATATTACTTCTTTTTATTGTATCCTATTGGTTAGTACATGATGTCAATCAGTCTCAGTACTTTTGTTCCCTTTGTTATCAATAAATATTTTGTGAAGGGTTATTTTGAGAGTATGTAAAACCCTGATCTCAACTTAATTTTACCCACTAGTTTTTGCCTCCTTTAGTATTTTTCGATGGAATTAATTTTACTATGATGATTGCCTGTGATTTTCCCAACTCTATTATTTTGTCTATATTTGTAGGTTGGTTTTATTTTGTACAAATCAAAAAAACAAAAAACAAAAAACCCAACATTTTCTCTCCATTTATTGAAACATTTTAAATCCATTTTTTGATGTACATCAGTGTGGACTCATGGATTCCTATTGCATTCAATTTCTTATTTATTGCTTTATTTATTTATTGTTTTTTAAAATTATCCCAGATTTGGTCATAGGAATCCCTTTAAGCTGACTTTTAAAAAATATTTACCTTTATTGTTGAAAATACTACAGATGTCCCCTTTTTACCCCCATTAACCCTTTCCACCCCCC